ATTTCAAGGATACTACGTCATCGAGTGCCGCCGAAGGACTGTTCCAATCTCCAGCATATTTGGAATTCCAACGAGGCCGCGTCCTTGGTTTGGGGGTAATTTCGAGGCTGCACATGGGTAGACTTCGCGTCCTTAAAATCCCCACAATGCTTTGCGCACGGACCAATTTCCCCAAATCTGTGGCGGAAAATGTAAGGCGGGGCCTCTCATATGACGCACACCTGCACACTTGCTAGCCTGTTCCACTCTTCGTTTTCCGAATGCCAGGAAGGATTCTTGCCTATCTTCTGAAGGAAGTGACTCGGAAGACATGTGCTACCAAGCAAGCATCCTCGCGATTGAGAAACGGCCCATGACAACCATGCTTCTTCGCTGCTTTTGTGGAGGAAGTTACAGCGCCACGTACAGGCTCCTGAATATGTACTGCAGCTTCTCCAGCGGTTGGAGCTAAACGGAGCTGTCTCGTGTGGACAGACACGATCCGGTGAATATTGCGTGTGGACGGAAGCTTTTTTGCGATTGCGTTAATCCTATGCGTTTTGCCGTATGCGTCCTCGTGGGGCCGGGGCCTCAGTGGACTCAGCCTCTGGAAGGTTCCCCTTACCTTCCAGGTGATCGAAGCCCAGCACCACGTCCTCCATGTGGCCCTCCCTCCCTCTGCAGCAAACAGATCTGAGGATGCCCCCCAGGTTGAGGACCTCCACCCGCACCTGGGCCGACTGCAGCACCCACATGTCCACGGGGCCCCGGCCCACTACCTCCCCCCACTGCTGCACACTCACATCAGTCATGGTGGGCTTCAAATACACACACATGGCTTATCTAGCACATTTCAACCAAAGTCAATTGAAAGAGCTTAAAACATTAAGCATTAACAGAACATTATAAAATAACATTTGAATAGAATAACATTAATATAAAACATGGTAATGTAGAATATGACACACACACACACACACACACACTCACTCACCTGTCCTCTCTTTATAAAGTCTCCCCGGTCATGAAGAGACTTCGGACCGGACTTGTTTGCATCCGGCTTCTCCTTCTTCTTCTTCTCCTGTTCTAATAGCGGCAGTAAACGCATGGTTTGAGGGGCATTAGCGCCACCTACTAAACTGGAGTGCAGACCAGAGACCGCTATTGCTATACATTTAGTCTCAGTAAAAAGAAAAAAGATCTCCCAGTAGATTTCACTAACACAAATAAAGCCTTATAATTATTATTTACCATCCTCAATACTAATACATTATAATATTCTACAAATACACCCCATTATTGTTCCACTCTTAAAGTGTGCCCCTTACACTTCATATACTGCTAATATACTAAAATAATAGATTTCAGTATCTGCTCTGTTTCATGGTAAAGATCAGGGCCGCCCCTGGCCAACTTGGGGCCCCAAGCGTCATTGTGAGATGAGCCCCCCCCCCCAACCGACAGGAGTGAACAACATTTTTTTGGAAACAAAGTAGGCTACTTTGCA